AAAAAAACTGAGATGCGAAAGAAAGAGAAAGAAAGCAGCTGCTATGACATCGTTCAATCAATATCAATGAATTATCTATAGAAAAAGAAGAAAGGTGTGAGAGAAATAATCATACAATCCTCTTCAAAATAATTGTCAGTTTTGTGGGCGTCTATAATATCTATGCATATTATATATATCATTGGCATAAATGAGTCGCTAATCAAGTTTACATATATAATTGGCGAGACATACATGTACATTTTTTTTCCTTTTTATGATCATACAATTATATTCGACAGAATCTATTTATAAGATAGTATATATAGATGTTTCTGTCCAAAGTACAATAAATCTCTAGAGATTCTTTCGTTTTTTTTTTCAAGTACATAAAGAATATTTATTTATTCATACCTTTTAAGTACATGAAAAATTGTTTCTTTTTTGATATACATATTTGTTTAAAATTAAACATTTGAAAACTAGATAGACTGAATGAATGTCTTGTTACTTTTTAATCAGATGGTTGAATGAATTCATCAAAAATTGTATCAACGAATAATCGTACAATACAATAGGCTTTATAAGGAGGTCAATCGAATGGTGATTATCATCAGGAGAAACAGCAGGAGTAATCACAGAAAAAGAAAAACTAGTTGAACTTCTTCTCTCTCTTTCTTTTTCTTGCTTTCTGCTTCTCTTTCGTTCTTCTTTATCAAGAAGAATAATGAAATTTCTAATTTCGATAATAAATAGCCTAAAGAAACAATACATATGTCTGAATGCTCAGCATAATTGCGTTCTTTTTCTAATTAGTAAAACTTCAGAAAATGATCCGACTAGTTATAAGCAAAATTAACTGAACAAGAACGAGATCATATAGCACCTGCCCGTCTTTTATAAATAATAGATGAAAAAACATATTTCCTAGTTATTGCAAGTCTTAAAATAACTATAGTTCGATTATTCTTGTTTTTGACATTATTGTCTAGTTCTTCTACGACCTCGACAAAATCAACATCATACATCAATTGACTAACAGAGATAAGCAGACTTTTCTATGACATATACATATATATATATGTATATATGTAATTCATTTGTTCGATAGTATCAGAAGTAACGATAGAACGAATATGTATTATCTCATAGTTTTTGTCTGTTTGATCAGGTACTTGCCTATTGGCAAATATATACCATGCTCATCATCACCATTATCATCATCAGTTACAGTCGTATAAGGCGAGCGACAAAAATGAATAAGTAGGCGGGTGAGAAAGAGAAGGATAGTTACGTCAGTCATTCGGATAGATGGATGGAGTAAGAGAGAAAGTGTATGTATATGTCAATTGAAGGTCTAATTTCTGTCATTTCGATATTACATCGAGGAAGAATGCAAGTATATATAAGTATGTGTACGTACACATTGATGTTGTTATATTACGCGTGCATATATGTATTTACAGATGCTCATTTGTTCAAAATGAGCGTTAATACTTCTGCGTAATTTGTTTCATATTTCATTGAATACAAAAAAAAGTTCTTACATCAAGCATGATATTGAATCATTAATATTATTATTTGAGAAAATATGAATATGATAATATTAGATTTCTCTTAATAATTTTACTGTAAAAAATGTCGTGAGAAACTGTGTAGATATCTAGTTCAGAACCTGACAAAACCATGTACCACCTGTCATATATTTCTATTTATGTTTTTGCATGTTCATATGTTATTAAAAATTAAAATGATCTATTTAGTGCATGTGTCTGCATCTGTTCACAGCCCAGCAGGATGATTAAACTCGCCTACATATTCTTTGTTAGAACATGTGAGAAAACAAGTTAGGCACAGACTGAAGAATAAATGAATTAAAATGACGTACATTGTGAGCCTATCTCAAATTAATTCGTTTTCTGTGTTTATATGGTTGACAAGCAAATGAAAAAAAAATATATATATATTCACTTACTTTTGCCTAATAATCGACGTGCCAATGTTGTCATTGTCAATAGAAAAGGAATGAAGTGTAGATCTATAATAAGAGATCAAGTAGAAATATGCGACCAAACATTTCTTATATTATCATTTGAATAGAACAAGTAATAATAGCAAAAGATTGAGAAAAGACATTTTTTTTTGACAAGATAAGAAATTATTATCAAATAAAAAGATTTGTATCAAGACAATTCTCGTTTTCTATTCACGACAATTTATAAGATGAGAGTAAAAAGAATACGCTGTTGGGTTCTCTCTCTCTCTCTCTCTCTTGCTTTTTCTTCTTCTTCTTCTTCACAATTCCTATTCTAATTGTACTACTACTCCTGTTCTTTCGTTCTGACAAATAATACGACGAGAGAGAAAAAGAGAATCAAGCAGAAAAAATGATGACGTTGAACAAATGCTTCTGGCGTTCTTTTTCTTCCTGCTCTTCTCATACTGTCTCTATCCAGTTCATCGTCTATGAATATTAGATAGCAAGAACACGATGACCACTACCACCATATCACGAGCCATCTTATAATGATTCTTCTCTTGTCAAAAAGTTGAACACATCTGTTCAAGAGAGAAGATATATTAAAAATAAATAGTCGAATGTTTGTGTGAAATGCATAGCATCCAGCTTTTCCTTTTATATTCATCATTATAGTTTCCGGAGGCATTCATACAAATAGATAATTCTTATGAATAGAGAGCTAAAACACATCTAGAGCAAAAGGAAATGAATTCTCGTATTGAGTTCAATGATTAGTATATGTCTAAGGATGTTGTTCAGTCAGAGCGGTAGGTCTTTTTTTTTTTAATGATGAAGAATAACATTGATGAGGATGAATTTCTTTGCCTTCTCTTTAATGACTATCATCATGTGGAAAAGGGCAGTTTTAGTAAGAGATGATGTTTACTTTCCTATGCTCATAGAAGATAATCATAAGAATAAACAAATATATTTATATATCAACGAAAAACTAACATTAACCGTTAGTCAACGTCAGCAACAGCAGGAGTATTTTTTTTTCTAATTGGATTATTATATCGTAATGAACGATTTTTTAATAATTATTTCAATATCTATTGATAGAAACAATTAATATAGTATTGCTGAGTAAAATTCATCTTAATAGATTTTGAAAAAAAAAAGAACCTTGGATTAAATTCTTGTTAGAGGACGAAAGGATGTCAATATAGTCTTTGGTAAATATTAATGGTCAATATGCATTAGTATTATTATGAGTGAAGTTAAAACTAAAAAAGAACTTTCAAATTTTATTCTTTACTATCGAAATGAACTTCGTTGTTTTGTATTGTTGTTGAAGTAATGTTCCAATAATTTATATCAGTCTATGTAATTAATACATCAGAACAATAGTTATCAATTGTAAACTTTAGACTAGTCTATAATGATGTTTTTACGTCTCATCTAATTTGTATAACAAGATCAAATAAATAAGTAGAGCATCCAAATTTGAATCTTTACACTGTTGAATGAACATTGCCATAATTAATATGATTATATATAAACACAATTACTTGATTGCATTAGACAATTTAACTACCTACGCATAGTATGATATAAATCTAATAACAAAAAAATGTCTAATTTCCAAACAATCATTGTTCATCATTATATATTCTAAAAACTTGATCAAAAAAAAACTATTTAACGCGTTGATGAATAAATCATTTAAGAAAATATAATTTGCGTAACAAATAGAATTCTATAGAATAGATGATCTTTTTTGTTTTTAGCACTATGATTTTGATTAAAATGTTCGTTTTTCTTCAGTGGAATTCTAGCGTTTTAATGCTCATTAGTTCTGAAAAAAAGGCGCACGCTCCATCCGATCAACGTGAGCAAAAAAAAAGTTACAATAAATCTGCTGACTGATTGCTTCTTCCCTCTCCAATCCTGATATCCTCGGGACTATAGATAAATATATTTTGTAATACAAAAAAAACAACAACAATATTCACTCAGTGTGTATTCAATAGATTTTGTTGGAAATGATATTTTGAAACTTATTCAACGAAAAGTCTTCTTACAAATAGTTAAATTCAAATACTAGACTACCATTGTTCTTACTTAATTAAAATTTTTCTCGAGAATACTGTATATTCTATATGAATAAATGTTTGTAATTTTGAATAACGAGTATTACCTTTTATGATATTGCGCAGAATGCTTTGACAAACATGTAAACAATAGGAATAATATGACATTGACGACATTGACTATAGTTTGGTATAAATGAATGACCTTGTATTATTGGCATAGTGATAAAAATGCTCTTGATTAGAAAGCTTGACAAAACTCCTACGAGCCTGTTACCTTGATATTTTGCTAGTGAAGCTAATGGAAAAATATTTTTTCTATCATACAGTTCGTATAGTAGAAGCTTCATCTTGTTGTCATCGAAGGTTACCAATGAGATATGAATGAATAGTTTATCTATGAACCAAATCAAATAATTTTTGAACAAAAAAAATTAGTAAGAATGAATGAGTTTTAGTGAATCCCATTCATAAAGTCAAGGCTCGATACTATAATTAGCTTTTATTTTAGAAGAAAAAGTTACATATGAAAACTAAATATGTAGCCGTGAAATAAAAAATACTTCGATATTTTTTGATATTTTCTGTAATTATATTCATTCTTGATTAATTTCATATTCGTAGTATTATTTGCAATATTATTCTGTATAATTGAGATTTGTTTGAATATTTAATATAATTTTTTTTGAAAAATTGACAACGCTTTTATTCACAATACGAGAAAAAGAAAAGGAATAATTTTAATTATTAAGATATATTTAGTTAACATGAAGGAAATGAGATTAAGTAAAAGAAGAAAGAAAAAAAAAAACGTGTTTTTTTTTTGAACACACAAACAACAATTCAAAAAAAGTAACGCTTATATATTTAACTGCAACAAGACGAAATAAAAAATAGATCACCGGATAAAAGAAGAAGAAGAAGCGAACTGTAGATTTAAATTGAGAAAAAAACTTATATATAGTTTATTAGAGAAGTTCTAGTCGATCCTTCTTCGTAATTGATAAGTGAAAACGTGATCGATTAACATTCGTCTTATTTTTTGATGCTAGTTTTAATCGCTGTTGTTGTTTTTTAAAAAATAAACTTTGTTCACGAAGAAAATTTTCTATTGAACCAAATTGTAAATTTACTTCCGAACGACTTTCATTATCGAGTTCTTTTAAATCAATCCATAATAAATTTATTTTAATTATATCATCAGAAAATCGTTCACCAAATATTAATAAAGATTTTTTATGTGAAATAGTTGTTGTTAAATTTGGTAATGAATTAATTATTTGTGATTTTGGTGATGGAGTATGAGAAGTTTTTGGTGATATACTACCAATTGGTGTTCGATAATTTGAACTATTTGATGAACTATTATTACTAGCTGTTGACGAACGTGATAAACGTGGTGATGATGTATCCATTGGTGATGAACGTTGTTTAATTGGAGTTGATTGTTTTGATTGTGTTGGACGTGTTGGTGTTACATTTGATGTTGGTAATGGTCGACGAACTGATGGTGGATATTTTTTTATAGTTGCAATAGCAGCAACAGTTGATGATGAGGATGATGAACTATTTTCATTAGGTAGCGAAGGTTTAAGACGTTTTATAGGACCGGGACGATTTTCAGCATCACATGATGATGCAGATCGTTGTACACCTTGACCAGTGCGTATGGGTATATTATGGCGAGTTGATGTTGAAAGTGAATTAGATATACTTGTATTGATTGTTGCTACTGTTGTTGTTGTTGTTGATGATGATGTTGGTGAAAGTTGCATTGGTGAAGAACTTGTAGCTAGAAGAAATTTTTATTAAAATTAAGACAAAAAAAATTTTTTTTTCATTAAATTTACTATTTGATAATGAATGACGTCCTTGTCGTTTAGCTACATTAAGTCGTACACCCATAGCAACTTCAAGTGCTTCCAGACGAGATTGTAAATTTGGTCCCAACGATTCTAAATATATATATATATATATAACATAAAAATACCAGTCATTAATTAATTATCTCTTTTTATTTTGTCATTTTTATAAGAATGTACCTGAACGATGTAATTTTGCCGTCGCAGGCATTACTATATTTTATATATATTGTGTTAAAATTAAATTATAAAATTCAAGAAGAAATAGTTAAATAATTCACTACTTCAATATACACATGTGAATAAAAGAGAAATGAATATAAAAGGCAGACGTGCCATAAGTATGGTGATGCAGGTCGATTTTATTTTATGATCTTATTTTATTTTTCTTCTTCTTTTCTCTTTACCTCGTTTTCTTTCGTGTATGTGTGACAAACACTAATAGAGAAGAAAAACTTACGTTCACTATTAATTGTTGGGACGTCGATAGAATAAGAAGATGATATAGTTAATGGACTTGTTTGAAGATTGGTCATATTTACATGAGAAAATCGCTTTTACTCATATAATTAACATAAGACATGGAGATAATCTTCGTTAAGCATCAATGATTGACTTAACCTTCTGTCAAATATACATATGTGCATTTTACTTTTCATTCATTTTGATTTCTTTCTCGTCCATTCATCCATCTCATTTTTTTTCTTTTTCGTTCCCTTTCTAAATGTCTCAGATGATGAGTACATTGAATAATCCGAAAGAAATGAGGACAAGGTTTTCTTATATGAAATATAACGGCAAATGTATGAACAAGCGAGCGATTAAGTTATGCTTACAAACAAGTAGACAGAGAGAGAGTGAGCAAAAAAATAGGCGTTTCGACATTCACAACTTGCAAAGGACAATTGCGTGGTGCATGCGTCTTTAGTCTTGATGGATTAGAGGTCAAATGTGAGAGTCTACTTTCTTTCTCTTTTGCTTTAATCTTATACGATCATACAGGTAGCACACTTTGTGATTAATTGAAAAGACTTTTTCAATGACTGTCAGAATATTAAAAAAATTGAAGAAGTCAAAATTACGTTATGTATTATTTTACTTTTTTCAGATTTGAACTTAGTCGATTCAGATTCGATAGTAGATTCAATAGGTAGTTGCTGTTGTTCAGAATGTAATATAGTTTTATTGAGTTTATTTATTAATGGAGTTGATTCATGTTTGATTTCTTCTGTATTCATTGTTGTTGTTGTTGGTAGTACGCGTAAAGGTTGATTTTTTGATTGAGTAAAATTAGATCTATTCTTATTGATTATTTTACGATAAAAAGATAATTCATTTTGCAATGGTAATAAATCAGTTTTTTTTTGTTGAATATTGAGTTTCATTTGAGTAATGTCGTTCATAAGATTTATATATTCTGTATGAAATTGATGTAGTTGGTTTTGATTAAAATCTTTACTATTTTTAAGATTATTTTTTAATGTTATTTCTTCATTTTTAAGGATTTGTTGTTTTTGTTTGAGTTGATCAATATATTCTTGTTGTTTTTCATGAAAGAGTTTTTTAGAATGAATTTCAAATGTTATTTTTGAATCAAAGAAAGAATTTTTTTCTTCTGAATAAATTTGTTTGATTTCATAATATAAATTTTTTTCAAATAAAATTTTTTGTTTTAATTGTTTTATATTTATTTCAATTTGATATTGTTCATATTGAATATTAAAAAGATTATTAACATAAATATTAATTTGTTGATTTTGTTTAATTAATTCTTGTTTTAATTGTTCAATGTTAGTTTCACATTGATTAATATTAGTTTTAAGATTATTAAAAGTTTCAATCGATTGCTGAAATTGTTTATCATATTGTTCAATATTAATTGATGATTGAATATTAAATACATTTTTATAGAATTTTATTGATTGATTATGTTGTTGTTCAACTAATTGAAAACATATTTTATTTGTTTTGATAACTGATAAATCATGAAGTAATAATGGAAATTTTTTATGATAATAATTATTACGTATTTTATAACGTTGATTAAGATCAATACGAAATGTATTTTGCAGATTTTTCATTAAATTTGAAGTATGTTCAAGCGATTTAATGTGTTCAAGAATTAATTCAATATATTTATTTAATTGTTCAATAAATTTTTTATTGATATCATCGATCATATTAATAGTAAATATTTGAATGATTCAATGTGAAGAATTGTTGTTGTTGTTGTTTTTTCAATGTAGATAAATGTTTTAATTAAAGATTGACAAACCAATAGTTTGCGTTTTATTCTGTGTTGGATTTTTTTTTCTATTTTTGAAATAATGTAGTATAACGTATACAATACATTTTTCTATTGTCTCATATCGTGATCTCCTCCTACTTTGATGTTCATTATGATCTGTTGTTCTTCATTGAAGATTATGATGTATAGTATCATTAGTCCTTGCTAAGCTCATACGTATTATAGATATTTATTCAAGGTGTTTTATTGACTATATGTTTGTATTCATTAGATACTCTCATAAAAATCATTGAGATCAATGTTCAATAGTAGGTTTTAAACCATTTTCAACACAAAAAAGACTTTGGTATTTTTATACTAAAAATAACAAATTAGATAATATCAAATTTTATATATATACGAGTAAAATCATTTCTTAGCAATGAAATTTTGCAAAATTAAAATACGTATATTTCGAAGTAAGAAACTTTCCTAGAGCTAATTTTTATATCTTACAGGTATGTTAAGTTACTCTAGATATCCTGAAAAAATCAGCACTGAAGACCCTTGTTCAGATAAGTTATTGGTACAAAAAGGTAGCTTTAGAAACTTGGTGGAGTACACGAATATATAAACGAAAAAATTCCTTCTTCAGAATCTCTAGAAAATCGGTTCTTAAGAGAAAGTTCTTTTATAATATGATCTTGCTGAAAATTTCACCATAGATACAGTTCATATCGTAGAGTCTATTATGAAGTTTTCGCATTTTTTCTGGTATGGCTGGAGAGATATTCGCTAATAATTTTTTAATTCATAATCAGTAGAAAGTACCAGTATTTTCACATGTGTCTATGCCAAAAGAACTTATTCAAAAAATAGTCCTTCTAAAAATCAAAGTTAAATGAAAGATGAATATGTTCCGTTTTGCGTGAACTAGGTCATATATTTGTTTGTTTTGACGTTTTATGAAATATGCTCAGACTTTTAAAAAAGCTAGTTTACAATAGAGCGAAAAGATCGATGAAAAAAAAGAGATGCAAAAATTTATTAGTAGTCACTTCCAAAATTTTTCAGTATTTATTCAAAATTATCATAGAACGAAGGTGATTTAACCAGAAATTACAAAACTTCCTTCAACACTAATAAGATATTTCCGTGTGCAATATGGAAAAAAATCAGCCATCAGCAAAGCTTTTTCTAAATGATTTCGATAATGACTAGTGTCCGAAAAGAAAATTTCTCCCTTTTCCAGAAAATAAAAAACAAACTATACAAACATGGTTAAGAAACTTCTGAAAATAGAGACACACTTTAAAGAAATTTTCATTCAACATCAGACTATTCTCAAAATGATTAGAAAATTTCTGTAAATACAGAACTTACTATATTTATTCAAGATAGATATCACTGTCACTGTATTTTAATACTAAAAAGAACATCGTATCCTCTAAAATATTAGTAATTTTAGAAATTACTAGTAAATTTCAGTAAATACAAGTATTAAGAAATATTCGTTCTGTTTATATGCCGATGCTCTTTATTATGGGAAGAAGACGGTACCTTTTAAAGTGCAGACAATTTCCGAAGGCTCGCTGTAAATTATAAAGTAAAAAATATTTTATCAGTTAGAATCTTCTTTTTCATATAGAATTACTCTGATATCTACGCGAGAATATATGCAAGATAATTTCTATATTCAATAAATTTTGTGGATAGTTTTGCGATAATTATCGAAATTTAGTCAATGCTTGACGTGAAATTTTTCTTGACGCATTGCTTGCAGAAATTTTGTGAATATTATGCCGTTTTCGAAATGTTTACATTTTTTGCAAAATAGTTAGAAGTGTCTTTTTTTGCCGATTGTTTATTATCGAAATTTTGTGGAAATTGCTTAGTGGTATATCAAGAACTTTGTAGTTTTTCTAGAAATTTTCTTGTGATGTGGTGCTTATGGAAAAGGTGGTCTATATGTACACTTGTAGAGAAAAACTTTCTCTATCTAGTGACATGTGTATTATCAGGTTCCACAGCGTACCGTTGTCAAGTCGAAATGTGGGGACATCTCCATTGCAGCCACTATACGTAGCGTAGCGAAAATGCTGTCATCTATCGATATCTCAATATTACACTTACACAGTAGAACAACTTGATAATGCATACAGTATTAGATAGAGAAAGTTTTTCTCTAGACGTCTATATATTCCTTTCTGTAGTTAAAAATCATCAGCGAAAACCTTATAGTCGACTGTTCTCGAAACTTGAATTTTTTTGAGCAGATAATTTCGATGGCTTTAACAGAAATTATGATAAATTCTGACATTTCTTACTGATACGATTTCTCTGTGGAACCAGTTTCTGAAATTTTATTTTTCATAAGAGAAATTTACTTTTTTGTTTTTTTAGAAATCTGAACACTGCTGAAATTTATTAATAAAAAATCTTAAAATTATGTCTAAATGGAGAAATCACGAAAAATTTCTAGATCATAAAAAAAATATTAGATGAAGTTTAATGACAATATAAAAGCATGCTTTTCATACAACTTGATTCATAAACTAGAACATTACAAACATTAAATATAATGAGCTAACACTTTTATATTTATTTATTGCTATATTGTTTGGTAAATATGAGTGAATAGCCAAGTAACTTATCAAAAAAACGATCGTAAAGATTTGTTTTATTATTATTTATAAAGGTCATATATTTACGTGGTTTTCAAGAGAAAAGGATACCAAGTAGCAAATTATTTACATCGATACTTACGACGAATGAAAACAAATAGCATATTTAAATCTATATAAACAAACTTTTAGTCTATCTATTATCAGTGATTTGTTAGCATATCTTGGCATCAGAAAAACGATTATATCGATTGATCTCATGGAATCATGATTAGCTTTTTTTCCAATCTATTGAACGTCAAGAATAGTAGAGATATCAGGATTTTTGGTCACGGAGAAGATGAGACTGAAGTCCCTCAGATTTTCTGTTGAACTACCGTCAGCAATGACTTTAAAAAGTTTCTCAACAACTCAGTCTCGCCCTGTGTGGTCGTCACTAGACATGAATCGATCAATATATAATACTAATGACTTGATACAGTCTATTATTGAAAAAAAATTATAATCGTATTACTGTTAACTATTAGAATCAAAACGAAACTTATATTAGAATCAAATGACCAACCAAAATCTCATTTTTAATATAGATATATAAACTATAATCAAAAAAATCTGTGTTACACAAAAACATTCAAATGTTTCATTGTTTATATTTTAGCCATTCCTATCCTTATGAATTTCGTTGAGAAATCTTGATTGTAACCTGAAAAAAAAGAAATAATATGTAATAGTAAATTTCTTTAAATATTTATTAAAAAAAGAATACATACGCATTTAGTTTCCGTATAAGAATCTAAGGAGTATTCACTTTTTTCTCTACCAAGACCACTTTGTTTAAAACCTCCAAATGGTGCAACTGGATCAAAATTATCATAAGTATTAACCCAAACGGAACCAGCGCGTAGTCCATTGCTAACAACTACAGCTTTATCTAAATCCTTTGTAAATATACTTGCAGCTAAGCCATAGTCTGTATCATTAGCACGTTCAATAACTTCATCAGTTGTTTTAAATTTAAGAATTTGCATAACTGGCCCAAAAATCTTTAAATAAAAACAAAAAAAAATAATTGTAATAAAGAAAAATATTTTTATTGATTACTTCTTCACGAGCAATTTGGTGACTATCATGAACATCACTAAAAACTGTTGGTTGAACAAAAAAACCTTTATCACCTGCACGTTCACCACCTACAAGTAATTTTGCACCACCTCTTTTTCCTGATTCAATTAAATCTAAAATTTTATCCATTTGTTCATGACTAATCTAAATAAAAAAAAAAATAATACAAATAAATATCTATAGAAAATAAAAACAGAATATTAATTTTTAAATATTTACTTGAGGTCCTTGTTCAGTACTATCATCAAATGGATCTCCAACTTTTCGTTGTTTAGCACGCTCAACACTTCGTTGAACAAATTCATCATAAATTTTCTCTTCAACATATGTACGTGATCCAGCTAAATAAACATTTTTCAAAATTATCTATTCAATACACAACAAATCAATCATACCACAACAGCATTGACCTTGATTAAAGAATAAAGCAAAGTGTGACATTTCAACTGTTGTGTCAACTAAAAAGTAAAATTTAATTGTATAACAATACTCTTATTGTCCTTATTAAACATACGATCACAATCAGCAAAAACAATATTTGGTGATTTTCCACCTAGTTCAAGGGTTGTACGTTTAACCATTTTAGCTGCCTCGGCTCCGATTATTTTACCGACTTGCGTTGAACCAGTAAAAGCGATTTTATTAACATCAGGATGTTTGACAATAGATGCTCCACAATGTGGACCATCACCCGAAAGAATATTAACAACACCCTAGAATAATCATTTAATTATTATAAAAGATTAAGATAAAGTTAATATCTACTGGTGGGAAGCCGGCTTCTTGAATCAATTTACCAACATAAAGTCCTGTTAAGGGTGTATGTTCATCAAGTTTAACAACTGTCGTACAACCAGCAGCGACAGATGGACCGATTTTCCAACAAAGTAAAATTAATGGAAAATTCCACTAAAAAAGAATTCAATGAATTTTCGTTTAAAAAAAAAATTCTTTTTTATTTACTGGAATAATTTGACCAACAATACCGACCGGTTCACGTCGTGTATATGAAAAGAAATCACCACCAACAGGTAAAACTTTTCCATTCATTTTATCTGGCCATCCAGCATAATATCTATACAATATTAAAAATTAAATACATATAAAAAAATATAATTATTAAAAATTTTAATTTACCGAAGAACGGCAATACAATGAGGAATATCAATATTATATGAATCTTTGAATGGTTTACCATTATTTACTGTTTCTAGTGCAGCCAGATAAGCACGATCACGTTCGAAAAGATCAGCAAGCTTATAAAGAAGGTCACCACGAGCTGCAGGATCCTAAATATAGATAATATTTTATTCATATAAAATACAATTCTAAATCATTTTCTACTAACCATACGACGCCATTCAGAACCAAGTCGAAAAGCATCTTTACAAGCTTTTATAGCTTTATCAACATCTTTCTATTTAGATAAGAATAAAATAGAATGTTTTTTTTTTATGTTGAAATTATTAACTATTTAGAAAACAATTTACTTCTGAAGCATCAGCAACCTCAGTAATAACATCACCCGTAGCTGGATTAAGGACTTCAAATACATTTCCAGCTATTGCATCAACAAATTCATTATTAATAAAAAGCTAGAGAAAGATAAAATACATAACATAATTATTTATTTAATAATGGGTTATAAAAATCGTAAACTAACTTTACGATAGTTCACTTGAGGATTTCGATCAGCAACTAACTTTTGTTGTGCAACTGTTGATGCAGCACGTTTTGTTAAACGAAGCCCATGATTGAAAAATTGCCGAGTTACTAGTTTCGACAGCATCATTCTTTAGATTGTGCTCTTACAATAGTAATTTTTAGCCTTCCCCTACTATTTATCTTATACTTATCTTTTTGTGATATTGCAGTTTAATAAGGTATGATGAATATACTCTTAGTAGCCCTATTTTATTTTATCGCTTGTCAAATAGCAGGCCTCTTTCTGTTCTGTTTTATTTGCCCCTTTTGCTTTTTCATTCTGTACTTTGCATTTTAACCACGTACTTTTTCTTTATCGCATACTTATTTGACATACAAGTCAGTGAGTCCTCAAATGCTCTTATAAATAGCTTTTGAGAATAAATAATTGCTTTTCATTATTATATCTCGTTTCTATATTGAGAAAAATTCTATTTTGTTTGATTTTATTTTTTGTTTTTCAACTAATAAGTGGTAAATAAAATCTTATAATATACAAATATGGATAAAAGAAAAGAAAACTAGAACACCATGTATATTAATTAGTTTATTTAATGGAATTGAATTTTGTTGCAAATGTTTAACTGAGTCGTAAAATGAGATGAACTTCACCGTGTGAACCAAGTCCAAGATGAGCAGGTAATTTAATCCAATCGTCTAATTGTCCACCAGCTTGTTGAATTTTTTTCAGACTAAGTTTTCCTGAACCAATCGAATCTTTACCAACTACATCATCATCATAGACCTTTATATGTAAAGTATCTTCACCTTTTTGTAAATTACTATTTAATATAAATAGAAAATATTGCTATAAAAAAAAACAAAAAAACAAAGAATCCGTACTTACAAAGTAAAAGTTTCATTCCATGTTGGTGAATTAGTATCTTTAATAGTTTTTGTTCGTTGTTTATAATCTTTGTCTAAGTATAATTCAATATACGCATCATTTTGACCAAGAGCATCTTGATCTTTAAGATTACGGGCTTCAACAACTGTAACGTGAAGACTTCCGTGTGACATGTTTAGTAATAAGACTGAGTTACTGATTAACAGAAACGTATACTTCAAAGTAGACTGAAGTAAGAAAATTTTCTCCTCGCCTTTTATAGTACAGTAATTCTCATAGATTCCTTCCAGAAAAAGAGAGAAAAAGAAAGAAAGAAAGAAAGAAAAAATTACTTTCAAAGCAATGTAAGGTGCACCAAGGGCAAAACATGAGCAAACATTTTTTTTTTCTTTATTTTTTTACATGGTTAGATAGAGTTTGTTGAGCTGATCACGAATATTACCTTTAAAATATTTGTTGGTCACGTTTTGGATGAAAAAAGTTCGAAATACAAAAATAGCTATGAAAATGATCCATTTCGCACTTTTTTCAAGAAATTTCAAAATTTCGCTCAATAATAATACTGATGAGACTTCGAAACTATGTTATTCAGATTCAGNATAACCGTCGATTATCCACTGTGGCTCCCGGTAAACGTGCCAAAATTGGGCAAAATATGTTCTATTCTTACACAATTTATACATATTCTGAAAGAGGACAGTCAGGGCTACAAGAAGATGTGCTTTTTCAAAAATCGAGTTTTTCAAGAAAAATCGACTTTCGGAGTGGGGGTTCCCCCTTAATCTATATGTGTATGAACAGGCACTACATCCAACAAGTCATTGCAAAGGGCTGTCTGGACTCAAAGAGATATTTTTTACGAGCTGACTTGACTTAAATCTTTGTCAGATCGTTAAGCATGAATTATACTTGTTTCCTCAAGGACGATTTGTAAACCTGGCAATTGATATCAACAAGCATTTTGTAAGGTTCATTTAAGCAATGATCAAAATACAGTATTTCTTCAGTTCAATGATATTATTCATTCATAAAGATGGTTGAGAGATATGTTTAGTGTACAAAACAACATGAATGTTGTTGACTGCAGTTTTGTGTTGGAAAATCCAGTAAAATTTCGAAGTGTCAAAAACGAAGTCCCACAAAACCAAACCATTCTATTACTCACTAGCACTTATCAAATAGGCACCGTCTCAGTCGATAAGCAATTTGATAAGTGAAGAAATTCTGTCGTGAGTTGCCTAACTTTAACTATTAGCTTTCTGTAAGCAGCAAACATTTTGAAATATATAATATTATCATCTTAGAAACTCAATAGCTTGAGCTGTCCCGACGAAGAAACAAATGACAGCTTCTAAGAAACTATTTTTTGCATTTTTCTTTAACAAGGAGATATATTATCTTTCTCATAAAAATTCAATCAAATGTTGTTTGAATAAGAATTTGTCTTAACATAATCAGTTGAATGATAAAAATGAAATACAAAATTGTATGTTAATTTATTGAATAATGACACCTTTAAAAAAGAAAGAATAGAAGTTAATTAACAATCGAAACAAGCACATTCATACATATATATATTTTTATATAGTTTTTGTTTGTATTCTTACGAAACTATAGAAGAAAAGAATCTGATAGACAAGATCGTTTGTACAATAGATTAAAATACACAACCACGTTTTCGAATTGCTAAATGTCCATCGTGTAAAAGTGATAGACTAACACGATGTTTTATATTTGTACCTGACCGACGTACAAGTAAATCATTTCGACCAACTGTTAAAATAAGTGCAGGAACTATTTCAAGATCATCAAAAACTAAAAGTATTGGTGAATTACGTGAAAACCATGCTCGTTGATACCATAAACGACCTTCTTCAATACGAACATCAATAAGAGATTTCGTTGATGAATCATCATTTTGATTTTCAGATGATTTTTTTTCAATAATTTGTTCAATATTTTTCAAACCACGACGAATATCTTTTAAATCTTGTTCAATATCTGAATTTGATAAAGATCTTTGTAATTCAATTCCACCAAATGGTGGTAATAAAGAATTTGTTCCACTAAATATAGATAAATCTTTTAATGATGCTGTTGTTGATGTTGTAGAATTTTCTGAAATAATATCATTAGCAGCTGCTCGTCTTAAATTATAAGTTGGTCGTTGTTGTTGTTGAGTAGATTCATTTGAATGATGATTATGTCCATCATATAAATTTGTATCATTTATATGATTATTTATTCCATTTAGTAAATATTGATCATTATCAGAATTACGACGATGACGAATATTTACATTTTGATGTTCGTATTCTAAATGACGACGTTTATCATTAAATGTTGATAACAATTTTAATTTGAAATCGATTTTTTTCGTTTGAAATACTTCATTAGATTGACGTAATTCATGTGTATACATTTTTTCAATTGTATCAGATCGATAATAACGCCAAAGACTTAGATTATTAACCTATTAAATGAAGGAAACAAAAAGTTGAAGTATCTCCATTCTATTCTATTCTATCGGACTAAATCTTTTTTTCGTAATAGAGAAGATTTCAGAGTTTTTTTCCATCAGAACTTTATGACCTTACAGGTCATAACATGAATCTAAAAATTTCGAAACGTCTAAAATACCAAGAATAGCTAAATGGGAAGCCAAAGTAACTGTGACTATTACTTCATTGTATTTAAGACAAGACAGATATCTATATAGATCACGACAGAGATAAAAGTTACCACATGCCACAGAATGATATACACGATCGAGTGCATTACCCGGTGAGAGGATCTATGCACGCATAAATCTATCAGAACCATCTTTAACACAGTAAAAGATAGAAATTCATTATTAAAGTCAATGCTGATACATCAAAGCAATAGTTATAAATGTTGTTCTTATGGAAAAAAACTGAAATCTTTTCTATCACGAAAAAAGAACTCATCTCATAGAATAGAATAGAGTGAAGATATTCAAATTTTTATCGTAAAGCTATTTATGGACCAACATGTATATGAAGTTTTGCTTTTTTGAACTGTTTTATTTAGAAAAATGTTTGTAAAATAAGGTCTTGACGTTTTATATGCCTCGGATTTTTGTTATACAAATGTAAAGAATAGAAAAAAGATTTAGAATAGCTGTAGAATACAGGTTGATTTGAGAGTTAATCTCATTCAGAATATGTTAAGAACGACTTAGAGTAAACTCAAAATTGTCAGATGTCTCATAATTGACAATAAAGTCATAAGTATGACTAAAATGTGCTATTTTTTACCGAATCATATACACATAGTTTTGATCGAAGTATTTATAGAAAAGTTATTTTATTGTATGAAAGAAAGAATGTAATTAGTTTTTCTTCAAAAATAAAAAAAAAAACGTGAGAAAATTAATATAAAATACTTAATAGAAATTTTGTAAATAAAACATTTATTGAAATATCAATCTTCAGTTATGGATGCTTTAAAAACTTTTCTTTATTATTTATTTTTATAGAAAATTTATATTATAAAATTAAAATTAAAAAAAATCTACTTAAAAATCTTTCATACTTGTTTATCATATAATCTCAATAATTGATCTAAACGCTTTTTATATTGCACATGATAATTATCATCTTGATCATTTTGTTGTTCATGATTAATGATTTCATTTTTAGTTAAATTATGTAATTCTTCTCGTAAATGATTTAAACGTTTTTCAATTATTTTCAATGATATTTTTCGATTTGATAATTTATTTGTTGTCGAATGTGAAGAACGTCGTCTTGATTCAATTGAACACATGATAACAAAAAAAATGGTCTTTTTGTTTTTTTTTTCAAAAATAAAGCATAACAATAAATGTTATCATCTAGAATTATATGAGAATATATCTTTTAGGTCTTTAAACAAAATATTATTTTTTGTACAAAAAAATATATACATATAAATTATTTTCTACTATTTGAAATCATTTTTAAATCATCTTCACATTCTGCATCCTTAATAGTCCATTTCGGTAATTGAAACATGCTAAATGCACCTACAAGACGTTTACGTGTTGTTTGTTGTTGTAGCGTTGACGGTAGAAATCTATTTGTAGAATAAAATTCTTCGTCATTTATCGTTGATGTTTGTTGTCCGATATCGAGTCGTTGTCGAAAATTATATGCTTTGCTTTGTAATCGATGTGGAGTTTGCATTGTAATAAATAATGGATCAACATCAAATGTATGTGAATGTATATCAATAACTGAACGTATTTCATCAATAATTAATTTTCGTTTTCGTCGAAGACGATTAAGTAAATGTTCTTTTAATTCTGTTCTTTTAGTAGCAAAATATGCTCGTGTACAATGTGTTTCGAAATCAAAACGACGATCAATACGTTCTTGTTCGATTTTATAACGAGCTTTTAAATATAAATAATTATTATGATAAGAATCCAACAAAGATTTTGAATGCTTCGAATCATTTATTGAGGTATTGTCATTTTGTTGTTCAAGTAGAGCTAATTCAGAATATAAATTTACTAAATGAGAACCAATTATTGATTGGCCAGATGAATTTTGCATCCTATTGATATCTGACTCTGAAATTGACTCAATTAATATTGATGTTTTCATTCTATTATTCAAATAGATCAACAGACAAAAAAAGATGATGTTTACTTTAATGGATAATGAAAATGATCCAATCGAAGCGTTCATAATAGATTACACATGCGACATCTATAATTCATAAACTCTTATCTTATGCTTCTGTAAGATCTTAAAAACTAGCCTTCTGATAACAACATAATGATTTTATTTGAAATATCAAATATTTGATTCTGAGTCAAACTTCTTTTTCATGTGCTTGCCATGCACTGACATCAAGATGTGTTCGTTCATAACACATCACTTGCTTTCCATAGACAAGCACTGAATGGTTGCATGAGTTATGTGCGCATATGAAACACAATCAACTGAAATAAAATAATAAAAGCTTTTCTGCTCAAAATGAGAAAATGCTTCTTGCTGCTGATGATAGATGTGGATGTAGATGAAAGCGTGAAAGTGGAGCGTATGGATGAAGACAAGGGCCGCGCCTACATCAAGGTTCTCACCTTCATATCAATCTTATGCAATTAAGTTTCTATTTCCATAATTGTGAGTTAGCTGACGTTTTATTTTGCATATATTCTAGAAGTGAAAGAGAAATGAAAAGGACTACCTTATAGTGCTAGTCATCGATGCTAATAATCAAGTTACTTGATGAAGCATATACGAATAGTTAGCTGTAAAAAGATGAATAACGTGACCCAACACAATCTGGAACATATATAGTTCATTCCTATATACTTTTCATAATAAAATGAATTTTCTAGCATGAATGAACGCGAAACGAGAAGTTGCATCCCTTCTAATGAAGGTGTAAAAATAAATTTCAGTTGTAAATCATCAACATAAAACTTGCATCGTTGTAACAGTATTTTTTTAGCTTGCATCATTCATTGAATAATGATTTGTAGAAATTGGAATTTTCCATTGAGCTCCTTTTTGGCATGCCTATAACAGACTTTGTTATTTAAGCTATGTACTTCTTATTTTGAGTGAAATCATTTTGAATGTAAAACTGAATAAAAAAAAAACGAAAGGCACGTGTAGCATATAATTAATATTAATTTCACGCATCACAGATCTCGCTCTTATTGTTGTGAAAAATGACTGGATTCAATAGAATATTATTATCGCTAGCTTGGGCTGAGGACAAACTTTTTGTTGTTAATCTGTGTAGTTATTAAAAAAGAGCTGTACTTTGATTTAAACTACATTCATCTGTAGAGCATCCTAAATTGTTCATGCATGATGAAGAACATTGTGAATAACATGAAACAAGACGTCGATCATCATTATATAAATCTTAAGAAAAACTTCTTACAACTGACAGAGTACAATTATTTGTTGAACAACAACATGATCAAGTATAGATTTTATTTTCGATGAAATAAATGGTGAAAAGGCTAATAAATGAAAATGATTGAATACGGATAATCGTTCTTGAAATTTATAAAGAGTGATATTGTTGTAAGGAATTCTTTTGCTTTTTAATTAAATCTATACACAAATAGAGGCAAGCGGCCCATAAAAGATCAAATCGGTCCACTAGTATGTTTATTGGTCAACTCCATTGAATCGCATGGCAACAGTCAGAACACATTGAGACTATTATTTTGGCACTAGTTTCATGAGATTTTGATCGAATTTTGAAGCCTAAAAACTATCAAAAAAAGTAATACATTTTAAGTCATTATTCTAATAATCCATCATATCATGGTGGATTCAATGTGAGATTAAGCAGGCAAGACAAAATATTACTGGAACTCTGAATTTGGCAGTTCTTTGATGATGCTTCAATCTCATATATAAATTACCAATCGATTGTTTAATTAAACAAAATATGGATTCTATACACAGGTAGACACTGTTAGTATATTTTTACTATATTTATTATCCACTGTTATCTTTCAACAAATACTTTAATTTCAATAATTAGAATGATTAAAACTGTGGTATTCTTCATCGGATGACTCTTTTAGAAAGTTAAAAAAGAATATATTTTTAAAAGTCAAAAAAATCTGGTCACAGAAAGAATTCCTAAGGACACTATTTTCCAGGCGCGATTTCGTGTCTCTTTAATCAATACTTCGAAGGTTTTTATCAGCGAAGTTCCATTTATGTACAGACTAATATAATATTTGGCATCAGCATAAAATTTTGAGTTGATCTAGATACAATTGACAGAAATTTCTGGAACGTTTTTTGTCGAAAAACTTAATTACTCGTCGTCTTCTTCAGGAACTAGACGAAAAATGAATTGCATTAAAACACCATTTGAACATTGCAAATAAATCTCGAAAATTGGTAAAAGTTATTAGATAGCAAAATGTGAGATGTCTAAAAAAGAAAAACAGAGTGTTCATTGAGTTCTTTTTGTTTTGTCTGACTCATGAGGGAGACCACGGGTAAGTTTTTCGACACGGAAAAGTTCCAGAAAATTTTTAAATCGTACCGAGACCAACTCAGAATGTTATGCTGATTCCAAATATTACACTAGTTTTGACTCAAACTGAACTTTTTCTACTTAAAATCTTCTAAATATTGACTAAAAAGACACAAAGACTGCGCTCGAAGAACAGTGTACTTAGGGATTTTTGTAAGTAGTCAGATTTTTGTTGACTTTGGAAAATATATAGTTTGTAGCTGTTTAGAAGCACTGTCAAATGAGTAGTACCAAAGATTTGACTATTTCAGTTTTTAAACTAAAATACATTTTTCATCCATTTAAACATCAGACGCCCAATAGACGCGTTCAAACGCGGTTAATGAAGAATTTTGAAACGCATACAGATACATCTTGTTTTATAAACCACGTCTAAACGTGTTTTACATTGAAATTGCGATTGACCACATTTTTGGGCAAAAAAAATAAATAAATCAATAGGTCTGAACACGTTTATATTTGAAATCGTGTTAAGATGCGATGATATTGTAGTCGTCCAAGCACATTTTGACATGGGGACTGTGTCTCGGCGTAAAAAATATTGCACTGGAGATACAGATTGAACTAAAATCGGTTGTAGCCTAGATATGCACTCAGTGCTAAATATTTTTTGAGTCTTTTCCAAAATGGAATCGAAGAACACAGAGAGAAATTAGATTAAGATTGTTGTTTTTGTTCCATTTTGTTCGAAGAACAATGTTGTATCAATTGTTTGCGCAATTATTGACGTAGTATAATACTCTTATTAAATAGAATATTTATTCATTTGCTTAAAGCAAATTAATTTACTGGATAATTTCGTGGTTTCCGTCAGGAACACAAGGAAAACTAATTTGCGAATTTCGACCTGAAACTTTGTACAGAGACAAGCTTTAATGAGAGGTGTTTATTGTGAAAGTTTCAAGTTTTGATGTTGTTTATATCTTAAAATAGAAACATCGAATCTGCCGGTGTATATGAGCAATGCCAAAAGACACGCTTCTACGATAGCTGTATCTTAGCATGCAAACAACGACAAGATCTGAAACATTGACAATAAATCATTCTTGTTAAAGATTGTCTCTATGTAAAGTTTCAAGTCGAAATTCGGAAATCAGTTTTCCTTGTATTTCTGAGGGAGGTCACAAAATTTTACTAAAAAATACTGTAAAAGGACAACATCTTCTCAGCAATAAGCTAAGGACGTCTAATCTCCATTTCAAAGTGATTCATTAGTTAGAGGGCTTCCTGCATCAGTAATGGCCTGTCCCATTCTTAAAATCATCTATGTAAGACACATATTTTATTTTAGCTTTCGTTATTTTAATTGAGAAAGAGAATTTTCAATCCAACGTTGAGCATTGTCTAAAATCTGTTTTTGACCAATTAAATAGATTAATGAATATCGTTCATCATCATCGAATTGATTCGATTGAAATCGATTGAGATTTTCTTCTAATGTTGTTGTATATGATACATCTTTAAGTTCATTAAGAAAAACTAAAAGTTTATTTAATGCTAGTCGTTCATTATCGACACTAACCATCGACGAAAGAAGTTGATGTAAATTTGATATATTCAACTGCTCTAATTCTTCATTTGACATAACAATTAAACGAAGAGTAGCTAATAAATTTTCACTTATAATTGGCTCATTGTCGGTTATTTTAAGTTCATGTTCTAAACATAAATCTTCACCTATTGAAAAAATTCAATAGTTAAAAACAATGCTAAATTGATTAAATGAAATTTAACATACTTAGATTAAGTAAAAGAGTTTTCTTCATTTCCATTTCATACGTATCACTTGAGTCCATTTTTAATTCAAGTAAAATCGAATCAGATGGATTATTCTCAATTGCAAATCCATAATAAAGTAATAATTGCCAATTGGCTAATTCATTGTTATATTTTAAACATAATTCTTCTCCATCTAAGATTTTTTTATCTGTTGCTTTTAACACAAATCTATTAGTTTCTTGATTAATACCCATTGAATATAGATTTGCTTCATGTGCGAATGATACATGATTAGCAAGGTCAGCTAATGGAATAAGTGTAGTACCAAGTTCAGTTAATTTAAAAGCTCGACTAGTGATAACTGTATATGCCCAAAGAAAGTCTTCTAATTGAAATGTACTTGAACCAATAAGATCCCATACTTCACTCATTGATTGACGCATTGTTTCTGTTAAATAAAACACTGACGTATTTTCAACATAATTTTCTTTATGAAATAATGGAGTTGTAAATGTAGTAGGTAAAAGTTGAAAATATGGATACCAATGGGATTGATTACGTTTTGAACGTTCATGTAAAAGAAAAAGTGATAGAATAAGTGTTTCTTGATCAATATGTTGATCAGTTTGATCGAGTATATCAGATGTTGGTAAAACAAATGTTGAACTATCCTTTGCTGATTGGTTTGACATTAATAATATTGTAGGAATTTGAATACTAGGTAATTCTTGTGATGATGTACTATATACGGAAAATCCTTTATAAAGTATTGATGAACGAATATCGATATTATCCCATATAACATTGTGTTCATTGAGCCAATTTTTAAATATATTTAAACGTTCTTCATCCTAAAATCATGAGAATTGTAATGAGAATAATAAATAACAGCATCGTTGCATATCATTCTGACACAATCATAATATTCGATGTGATTTAGGATTAGCACACCGCTTCCGAATGACATTTGCAACAGAGGCATAAATACGCCATTGTCGATATACAGTTTTTGAACGTACATATAACAACGTTTGCTATAGTCTGTATGTGGGAAGAAGTAGTACAAATTTCTATCCAAAATACTTTGACATTTATTTTAGATCGTGCTTTACAAAATTATGATTCGCACAGTACTCAAAGCTAATCCTAACTTTGAGTTACATTATTTTTCTATGATTTACCCGTTCCAAAGCTGAAGTTATTTGTCAAAGTGAGAATATCGAATAAGTTAAAAAATTCAATAAAAAACTATATGCAGATCTAGTTTGTTAATTTTAGGCATCACATAAAAATGCATTTTATTTCATTTTTGTATATTAATGTTATGGAAACAAAAAGTTTAAATCTAGAAGAAATGCTTTCTGTATCATTTCACTCATTGGTAAAAAAAAAATTATTCATTCCTTGTAGAATTTGAGATACATTAAATAAAACTACATACAGTGTTAATTTTGAAATGTTGCTTTTCAATATGAACCTCATCATCTACATTAGATTCTAAATGACGCTTCATTCTAAAACAAAAACATAGATATAAATAATAAAGAATATTTTATGAAAAATGAATTGTTTCAACAATGATATAAAATTAATAGAAGAGAATTTCTTCAAAACTCTATTTAGTTCAATATGAAGAACTGTAGCGATATCGACTCTCATGAACCTATCGAACTATTGCAATGTTTTCATCAAAAGGAAGTTAATTTAAACATTATGTTCAATCGAAAACAAATATATACTGAGTAATGTGTGAATTTGCTTGAATTATGTTCTTTTTTTTAATCTTAAAGAATATTGTATGGCTCGTTTTACTGACTGTATAAAGAAAAAAAATGGTATCTGTAAAGTATTTGTAGATGTAAATATATTGTATCGTAAACAAGAAAAGGTTAATGACTGAAGTTTAGTTGGACACATTCAGCGAGTATTGACTAATGATACTGAATATATATTCCGTATTTCTTTGTATTACTGACTATTATATTCTACGTAATATACTTAACTAATTAAGCTAATCATCATTATCTGATGGAAGTCTTAGTCGATCATCTTTTGTTTATCTTATATCGTTATCTTCAAATAAAAAATGATTTCATTCGATATACATATGGATATTGTCTTGCCTTGCCTTGTCGATTACTCTTATTGTTCTTTTTGCAATATCTAATTGATCGTGTCTATTATATGGCTAAAGGATTGAATAATGAAGTATTTAAACTCTAATGTAAGAATATATAATATTTTAGCAATTAGATGTTTTGAAATAATGCAGTAACAAATTAAACAAAATAAAATTCATTGTTTTATAAAAGCAAATATGTCGAAAACATTCATATATAAAAAAAAGAGATTTGTTTAGTCATGAAGAAAACATTTGTTACCATTCATATTATTGAAAATCCACAAAAACATCTACTGTCTCTAATTCATAGGATAACTTATATACACAATAAAACATCTCATAGAAAACACCTCTCTATCGTGTGCACCGTCATATGGCTCTTTGACGAATACTTTTGAGAACTCCCAATGGTATCCGCGACAGGAAAATTTTATTATATTTTAACAAGTTTTACTTCTCCAAGAATAAAATGTATGAAAAGAGAAATAACAATGAGCAGTAACTAATTATTTTATTCACTGATATCCTTTAGATGCCTAGAATATACGTCCGTTCCTTGTAAGAAAGGCTTTGCTTTTCGAAAAGACATAATCACCTTATAATGAACACTTTTGACAATTTCGATTTGTACTGAAGAATGAAATCATTTTTTATTTGAAGATAACGATATAAGATAAACAAAAGATGATCGACTAA